TTTTAAAAAACTTAATAAACGTACATTCAGATAAGCTGGAAAATTGGTCAAACCAAAATGCCGGTCATATTAAAAAACAGCTGACATCCCTAGGAGTCTCCACAATTCATGATTGAGTGTCCACAAATTGAGTAGGAATGAGTGCCAAGAATGCCTTCAGGAAAATGTTGAGTTGTTTAGCTCGAATTGGGTGTGATAGAGGGCTACCAAAGAAAAGCATCTTAAATGATCTGACTTTCATAAAATAAAATCTTTCGAACTTTTTTCTGCGCGTTAAGGTTTTTGCAGGCATCGCGTCAACCCGTACTCTGTAACGGTCTTTTTTTGAATACCTCACATTTGGCGAAAACCATGTCTGTTGATTCTCTTCTGTGGAGACTGAATTATTTAAGACAACTATTTGCAACCATACGCAATATTATCAGCCTGCAATAAGTTAAAAATGTACCTTTTTGTTGGCTTCATAACTATTTGACGTAGCTTAACTGAAATGTTAGTCTTATTGAAAAATTTCAGATTTTTTCGTTATCACAGCAACCAAAACAACAACAGCTGGTTGTTGAGCAAGTACAACAAAAAAGTAAGAATTTTCTTTAAATACTAAGTTAGAAAAAGTATCATGTTATAATGTATAAAAGAAAATGTTTTGAATCATGTTTGTTAAAACTCAATTTAAAAAAAATTAATCATGCAATACGTCCTTTCGTGTTCAGCTTGCTTTTGAAGTTGATATCTCAAAAAATATATAAATACATTCAAACTTTTCTTGTGAACAAAAAAATTCAAATTTTTTTTTGTCAAACTCAGTGGTTGAAAAATTTTGAGGAACGACGTTAATTTTTTTGTCAGTTAATTATTTCGGGAAAACAAGCGAATGAGATTAAAAAGTTCCCGATTGAAAACCAGTTAGAAGTGTATGTCATATGAAGAAACTTCTGTCTATATGATAGACAGCTTCATTTCAGTTAAAAACAGAAATTGAAATGAACAAGTTTTTAGCATAGAAACGAATAAATTTTCTCTGTGCATGAGTATTTTTTTTCCAAATTTGAACATGATAAGGTATCTCAAATTGTTCTAGATAGTTAAATAGATTTTAAGTGCAATTTATTTCATGTTAAATTAGCTTGCCTGTAGTCTAAATGTAGGCCAATTTGCTGTCATTTTTTTGTAAATCTATTGAAACTTAGCATTTTTTAGAGCTGAAAGAAAAAAATTTCCTTGTGAAAAATTTGAAAGTTATGTCTTCTAAGGCTCAATTTAAAAAGTAGACAAGGCATTATGTCACTTTTTTCAGCTTTTTTATAATGTCATTATCTCAAAACATATTTTCACTTTTTATTGAACAAAAAATGTGAAAGGTCTAAACCTTTCCATCAAACTAAAAAAATAATTATAAGCAATTAAAAATAAACCCGCCGTGAAACAGATGTGTTTTTAGTTTACAGTTAGGAGTAGTAACACAGGAGTTTTCGTAGTTTTTTGAAAACCTTAATTGTTCGAATTAGGCGCGGATCTAGGAATTTCTCGAGGGGGGAGCGGATTTTCAAAAAAAATTTGATTATTTTGTCGACCTTTTTTTTTAGTTCGACCAAATTGATTTTCTGAGCTTTCCCGACCCACTATAAAGACCCTAAAAGTTTGAAAAAACAGGCCAAAAAAAGCTTACTAGGTACTTTTAGACAATTTTGACCAAAAAAATTGCGTTTTTTCGACGCGCGCCTCCCCCTCAAAGTTAGTATATATTGCCGCCAAAGGCGCCTTTAAAAAAATTTAAAGGTCAGTCAGCCAAAAACGGATATCTCAAAATAGTACAAATCGCTTCTGGTTCGATTTAAGATTTAGTTTTCGACCCACTCTGTTGATAATGTGCGGTATCTGATAATGCGTGAAACAAAATTAAAAATAAAAATTACCGAAAACAAAACTTTCGCTTTTTTTGGGATTCACCTTCCAGCGAAGAATAATATGGATTTTGCAGTGCTTGAAGAAAAGCTTACGTTTCGTATAATTAGCGATTTAGATTAAAATAAAACAAAATAGTTGTTTCTGGTCTAACAAGAATTGATTTGGCAGTCACACTCCAATAGATGACAACCTAATTGTCATTTTTGAGCAAGGTGTTATGATAGCAACTAGAATTAGGGTTAGCATGTTGCAAAGTACGCATAATCGACTACCGTTTTCTTAAACAGTTAGTATGAATAACCAAACAATGAACGTAAAAATAATTTCAGAAGCATTTCAAAACCAAGTTCAACAATTGTTTGTGAGTTAGTTTTCTCATTTTTTTGTTTCATGAAACAGTTCTGAAGAAAGATTTCCCGAGCAAATTTTTTCAGGGCTTGATAAGAACCATTTTTATCAAAGCACCCTGGTTTTTTACTAGCTTGAATTTAGACAAAGAGCAAAAAGTCTTAGGCAGCTCAATGAGAAATTTCGTTTAAATCACGACTAAAAGGGGTTTAAAATGGCATACCACTCGAAACGTTCTGATGTTTAAGTGAGGAACCTAACTGTGAGGAAAAAATCCTAGCAGTCGTTTGTTTTCTAGTTAGCTAACTTTTTCACAAAATTTGTTTTCTGGTCTAGCTTGAACTGATCTGGCGGTTGACATGCTTAAAAGATTCTTCATGTTGGTTAGTCACAAAAATTACAAAGAAAATGATTGACTATCAGAAAATTTTTAAGTTTCGAGGCTGAGTTTTCCTGCTTTTTGCATAGAAATCATTGTTTTCGATGTCTGAGTACACTATCAACTGTACTACATTTAATAATCCTATTTCTTATAAAAACAGTTTTTAAGTAAAAACTCCAAATTTCTAGATTTTATTTGATAAGTCAGTTAGGAACCAAAATACAAAAACCACCAATTTGCCTTTTTAAATTTTTTTCTACAATTTTAGTACAACGTCTAAAATAAACTAAGATTGTAAAAACTGAAAAAAAACTTTTTAAAAAATTTTTAAGCCATTTATTCAATGAAACTTCAATTAAACTTCTGAAAAAACTGATGAGCAAAAAATTCGACAATTTTAGCCAAAAATCTGTTAAGAAATTGTTCAGTTTGATGCAATGCAGCTTATACATTAAAGCGTTGTTTAGTGCTCAAACCTCTATGCATGGTCAATAGCTAAGCTATTTAGTTGGCTCGTAAACATTTTTGAAACTGAGCCGACAGAACTTAACTACACGCGAGGATCTCGAAAAAGAGAAATGAAAAACAAAAAAATCGATTTCAAGAAATCAAATCAGTTTTTGGCGTGTACATCGAAAAAATACAACGGAGGGATCAGTTAAATGGACGGCGTCTACTTTATATTAATGAAATCAAGTGCTGAGATTTGTGTACATTTTTTTAGTAGGTGGTTGCAAGTAACTTGCTATCAGTAGCGGATTTGGGTGGGGGCAGACGCCATTTTCTTGCACAGATTCGACCACCTGCTTACCCAAAGGATCCCCAATGTAATGCTATTTAAAACCTCCTTTTTTAGCTGGCTGACCATGAAATTTTTCTAAAGGCGCCTGCTGAGGGGGGAGCGATCAAAAAAGTCTGAAAATTTTTTTCGCTTGTTATGTTGGCCAAAACATTGGCCAAAACAGAGCTCGAAAAATCGACTTGGTGGACATAACCAGTAAGCAGAAGGTTCTAAAAACAACTTTCTGAGCGCATAGAAGCAGAAAAACCGGCAAAATTGGAACTATATGTGCTAAAGGATGAAACACGTATGAGACTTGTCAATGATAAAAATTAATGGAATAAACTATTAATCTTTTTGTTACGATAGAAAAATTCGATAAACATATCTAGATTTTCGAAGTTTTCTCTAGCGCCATATGGCAAAAAACAGGTTGGTTAAAAATCGAATTTCGTCTGGATAAAAAACAGATAAGCACAAACGATCTGTCGCTTTCTTCAAAAAGCAGAACAACAAAACAAAGCTTCTCAGCAAAAACTAACTCTTGCGTTAGTCTATGACTTTTTCTCGTGGAAAAAATTCTATGAAAACGTTTTCTATCGTAAGCGGGAAATCGCTGCCATTAGAGGTTATTGTTTTTAGGAATTAAGAAAATTTTTTGCTCGCTCAATTGTAAAAAAAAGAAGATTTAGTGATATTTTCGTACCTCCAGTTTTCAATCGGATATCTTGACTCGAATCATGTTTCAGAGGGTTGTTTCCAATCAAATGATTTAAAGACGACAATGACGACATTGATGCTAAGTTTTTTCAGCTTTTTATGCCATTTTTTTTCATTTTCTGATAGCATGTACCCGAAATTTGGAAACTCGTAATTTGGTTCACAAGTCATTGAAGATTTGACTCCCATATTTAGGTATGATCAAAGCGGTGTTTTGATACGTTAGAAGATCTTAGAGCAAAAGAAGATTTTGCAGCCCACTGATTTTTATCATTTAGTTCCTAATTGGTTGCAATTTGCCATTTTCATCATTTAATGGCTTGAAAACGCATCGGGAAATAATTGCTAATTACATCATAAGCGATAATGAAAAATACTCCGAATCAATTTTTGGGAGTGCTTTTTAATAACAATTCAAACGAATTTCATATTTTACTCAATTTTCCGGCGCTGCTCAACCGATCAACTTTTCCTCGCTTCGCAAAGTCAATTTCCTTAACAAAATGCTTTTTCAAATTTAACTTAACGATGCATCGGAGCGCGCATTAATTAGCGGTATAACTTTGCTGTGTTATAAATGAAATCAATTTCATTTAATTTTCTCAGTTTTTTGGAGCATCAAGACGCTACCTGAAATTTTTAGCATTCAAAAGTCCGCGGAAATGGAAAATTATATCTGTTTTATGCACTTGTAGTTGCGAAAGCGTTATTTAAAATGCCATTTCCTGTCTTCCATTGCAATATCTTCTTCAAATGAAATGTCTGAGCATTCTGATTATTAAGCATTCTGATTGGTTAATAGAGTCAACCAATCACAAGGCTATAGTCATCCCAATTTGTTCTCTAAGTCGTAGGCAGCAATCGGGCTAAATTAAATTTCACTCTTTTGAAATCTTTCAATTAGTTTTGGCCGCTTTTAACAGGATTAAATTACAATAAAAACCTTATTGGAGTCATTCAAATCACGCAACAAATAACAATATCAAAATCTGTAATTGTTTTTGCAATAATCAAGTCGGTAAAAAGTTCAAACAAAAAGCTATGAATTCTCTACTCCAGCATTCTCCGGAACACCAACATCAACCACTGAATCTTTGCAACCAGGGCATTTTTAACACCAGTCCTCAAAAAACCCTCAAACGCGATTTGATAAGTCCACATCAGGAAGAAAGAAGGCCGACTGTGGGTCAAGTCGGGTCCGAAGTGCAGTCGCGGCAACACGAAGTGAGTCCGACTACTTTGTTGGAGCACGACGAGACAACTTTGGGATCCGAGGAGCAAACCGAGGAGGCAGAGGATGCATGTGGAGGAGACCAGTCGAGAATCTGGACTTTCGAGGAGCAATTTAGACAGGTAGAGTTTGATTCTCCTTCTATAAGTTTCAGCGCACCAACAGGGACTACTAACTTGTGTACGGTAGATAGTTAGATGAAGAGATTGCTCCCCACAAAAAAGTTTAGAACCCTGAAATCTTTGGAAACATGCAAGGGTAAAAGTTTGATAGATGGGTCCCAAGAAAGTAACCGGTTTGGTCCCAAGAAAGTGACCGGGTCCCTGATATAATTTAAGTGCCATAAAATTGTTGTTCCATTTATCGCTTCAGTGATGTCAAGTGAACTATCGAATAAGTTCGCGCAAATACGGCAGGTTAATTACGTTCGAGAAAAAGTTTTGAAATGATCGACCGGCGCATATGGATTAGTTAATCGCTGTTTTAGCTTAAAATTGTGATACAAGTATGATAGTTGGGTCCTCCCGCATTTTTTGTGAGAACTTCAAAAACACAAGTAAACAAATGTGAACCATGTTTTCGGAGATGTTAAGGCGTAAAAATATTCTTCAGGGACCCATCTAAATTTTTGGAACCCAAATATCATACTTGTACCAAATTAGTGTGATTCGGAGACCCCTCTATCACACTTGTACAACAAGATGTTCATTTTTTACTTTTGAAGTGCTCACAAAAATGGCGAGACTTATATGAGGAGCGACCACACGGAAATTATACAGTGGTCCACAACCGATTCTTTAGTTGGTACAATAGGGGGGGGGGGGGGGAGATTGTTAAGTAGGTCCCACCAAAATGGGGAGCCGGAGCTGGCAAAACAAATAAATTTTCATCCAATTATATAATTACTGTCAAACCAACTCATTCGTGAAGATCTGATTGGTTTAAGATTGGCTATTTTAATAAAATTTTTCAATTTTTAAGTTTAACTTTAGGGTCAAGTTAACATCCTTCTCCCCGGACACGATGATCCCACTTTTGCGACAGTTTTTCAAACGTGGGGCGACAATGCTTTACAGTATAAACGGGGAACACTGATTCACGCGCAGTATTCAAAAATGTTCGGCAAAGAGTAAATAGGGCCATTTATCTTTTTTGTTTCATTCTTCATTGCCCTCTCAACTTAACGCCATCCCATTCACATACATAGACCTGGATCAACCACTGTTTTTGGGAAAGTAAACAAAACCTCAAACCATACACAATGCGGTGGAGGTACCCTCGTTTATTGTTTTCTTTGGAACTCAACAATCGGCGTAATACTAATAATACTGCCCAATTAATTGTCGGTCATACTGTTGTACAATACAATCCGTTTTCCCGTAGTTATTGTCATTAGAAGGCTGTAGTCGCCATTTGAAGTAGCGATCACTTATCCGCTATAGCAAGCCGGCCTTTTGGTTGTATTTGGGCTAATTTGCGGTTTGAGGTGAGATAAAAAAAGGTGAAGTCTAGTCTGTCGTTATGTCCTCGCTGGCATTTAGTTGAGACCTCACGTCTACGTTTTGGCGCGGGTGGGGAGGGGTAATTATGTCTCGGAGTCTTTATTGTCGTTGGGTATCACAGAGCCGAATACCCGGATAGCCGAAATTTTTTCGACTAATCAGCATGCAGCAAAGTTCGAATTATGAATAGAGCGCTCTAATGCTAATTTACTGCTTTTACTTATAGTATGGCCATTTTTTAGTAGATTCCATAGCGGGGGTTCTCTTGTATATAATAAATGAAAGCCACTTCACCTTTACCATTATAGCCCTCAAGCAAGTTAGTAGCCCACAAAAAATCAAATGCGGTATTTTCGAAATATCTTTTGTCGACATTACTCGACCTTTTTTGGGTCGAACAGATTTTTGTTGGCCATCTTATTGGATCGCCAAAACACTTAAACCCCTTCAAGACTAAAAACATTTAAAAAATCCCTTTCAAGACAGCTGTTTGACAGTGCTTTCATTTGGCTAAACTTTTTTCGGCACTTTCTGAAGGTTTTGGTCAAAAACTGCGTTTTTTTGGCGCGCGGTCACCCCTTTCAATAAGAATACCCTAAAAAACCCTCCTGTCAAAACTGTTTTTGAGAGCACACCTGTCAAAACTCTTTAATTGTCAATCATTTTCAAGAAAGTTTTCTGAGACTTCGAATTCAAGGCTGAGCGGTGTTTTTGCAACCGCAGCGACTTCATTTTGCAGACATTGATATGAGAATTTTATACAAGGCGATGTCAAAAACAAAGGCATATCCAATCATCAAGTGTCTTGATCCATCCGAAACCCAATTGTAACATCTTGATGAGAAGCCCTGATCAAATCGATCGGGTTCAAAGGTACGGGCCAGTTTGAACATCACAGACACTTTTTCTAGACCTGGAGGCGTGTCAATCAACGAAAGTGACATTTAATGAAGTCTTTTAGCTGGGTGAAGTTTTAGTCTTCATTTTAGATCACACTTCATCGGGAAATGGCAAATAAGCCTCTGTATCATCAAACCGATCTTTGTTTGAATCTAAAGAGAGCCGGAAAAACATCAGAACAAATTGATAGAAAAAAAAAGAAAACCTAATAAAGGCAGCTTGTTTAACAGTTGTTTCTTCGTTGAGTACAGAAATGAGCAATTAAAAGATATGCAACACTTATGACATAGTTATCTAAATATAGTCTTGGAACTTCTGTTTCGGTTTTTTGACTTTTTGGTAGGGTAAATCATTATAGGCTCGATGATCTGGTTGGCTTGTAGAACTGTACTGTTCGAGCGCCGCTTATACCATCGTGTGTATTTCTCATCCATAATCTATAATTCATACCATCTTCGTTTGCATTAGGGTTCGATTGTTTGTCCAAACAAATAAATAGATGTTAATTTTTATCTGCAAACCAATCTAAGCCAAGATACAGTTCCAAAATATTGTGGAAAATGGAATCAAAACAATTAAACGCGACTCAGTCGACATCGTCAAAAATCAGTCATTTCTCTAAAATTGACATTCCTACGAGACTAGTAAAGAGACATCCTCGTCTACGTCTCATTAACTAGCCATGAATAAATCTCTAATAACAATTTGATTGCTAATGTATCGAATGTCTAAATTTTTAATCCCGTTTAAATCCTCTAATCCATTTATCTATCGTAGATCCCCAATTCGCTAATAAACTAACGATTTTTGTAAATTTTAATTATTAAATTTGTCACAATTTACGCCAATTCATAAATTTATAATGGTCGAATTTGTCCAAATTACGATGCATTTTTGCTTCAAATGAGTTTTCTTTGTGTAGAAATTGTTTGAGACTCGAAATCGCTGCGACTAGGAGGGATTAATTGAAATCCGATAATAAGAATCCGATCTTTTTCACCATTGGCAATTTTAATTAAAATAAATTGGATTGCGACAGCATCTTAATTATTTAACCAACTCGAAATAAACTAATCAATTTCTGGAAGATTCTACCATTGTGTATTCATTTAAACCAACGAAAAGTTTAACTCTTTGAAACAGCTGAAACTTCGGTGTTAATTGATCACACTTTAAAAATTACACTTGCTTAATCTTACTTCAATTGCTGCAAACTTTCTTTCAAGATGATTCAAGAAGTTAGTTTCATAGAATTTGATTTTTTCATTCATTAAAGCAGATTATTATTTTTTATTAAAAAAGATCTAAGCTATATTACTAGATTTTAGATAGATATTAACCGATTCGCTTTGAAAAAAATTTCTATTTCCATGTTTTTTCGTTTCAGCTTTACGAAATCGACAGCGATCCCGAAAGAAAGAAGTTTCTAGATGATTTGTTCGCGTTTATGCAGAAAAGAGGTCGGTACCTAAATTGAAATCATTCAATCCAAAAAGTTCAACTTGTAGGTGGAAATAATGACTTAAAAATATTAAATCTTATAAAAAAGACTTTGCATAAAAATATACAGACTGTGAAATACAAAAGCAATCTAAGTTATTGCTCGCTTGAGTTGAGATTTATTTTAGCAAGTGATGATTTGCATATTTTACTTTCATTTGCAAACCTGATGGAGCCAGGATAAAGTGGATAAAAATGTCTTTTGATAGAAATTGTTACAAAACAACAATTTTGAGATTACAAAAATAAGCATTTTAGTCACAATTCAGTAGCTACGAAGAGATTATGAGATTTTAATTTCGAAATTGATTTAGATGAAGTGAAAAATTCCTAATAAAATGCATGCTTTGTTCTACGCTCATTCTAAATGCGCGAAATCCGTGAAAAATCCCCAAAATTGAAATCATTATTCAAATGTTTTTTAACAAATTAAACAAATCTTCCATTATTCTCTCAAATGGCACAATTTAATCCTTTTAGTTTTAATTGCATTGTTTGTGCATCCATTTACAGCAAAGAAAACTAATCATCGTAAGACAAATTGGAAGCTAAAAAACCCTGATGAAGATAAGATGGTCATGCTAATTTCAGGCACTCCGGTGAACAGAATCCCGATCATGGCTAAGCAGACTCTGGATCTGCACCTTCTGTTCAAACTGGTGGTGGCCAAGGGGGGACTTGTGGAGGTCATCAACCGGAAACTGTGGCGGGAGATCACCAAGGGTCTCAACCTCCCCCATTCCATCACCAGTGCCGCTTTCACCCTCCGAACACAGTGAGTCACCTTCAATCCTTTTACTCCATGGGTGTCAACATTAGACAACTCCACGATTCTGATTATGAAGTTATAATGGTACAGAAATTGTAGATGGGACACTGCACAAAGCGGATCTCTTTAAATGTTTGGACTCCATATATTTGTGCGAACCGTAGTAGTTAACACAACTAAGTATTATGCCGTTCTGTTGTTGAAATTTTAGATTACCTAATTTTTCTGTGAGGATAGATCAAAGTTTTACAGTAGGGACGAATCGGAATCCAAGGTTTTCTCGAAGACGGGCCAAACATGCCGTTTTTGGGCACTTGTTGAATAATTTTGACGCCCCTAATTCCACTTTCTTTTTATAGCCCAACAATTGCTAAAATCGTAAGAGTTTTCTTTGTTTTTGAAAAATAAAGGTCCAAAATGACATCATTTCCCTTGATTCAATTATGGTGAAAATTTTCGGAAATTTGATTTGCAAATCAATTACTTTATTGGGAATGATTAAAGCTGGTCTTTGTCCAATTAAACTTTGTTCAAGTTCCACAATTTTATGTACTTGAAGTCATTCTAATAGATGATTAGAAAAGCAGTTGTTTTAACTAGAACTCTCCAAGCATTTAACAAAGTTACATTAGCTCGAGTTGAAGCATTAGTTGAAAAAACGTCACCCAAAAATCAAGGTAATTAAACTCATCATATCAAAAAAATTACGGCTTTGTTATTAAAAAGATAGCTTGAAATTCCCATTTGGGGAAAATAATTATTAAATGGGGCTTTTTTATTTCAAAAGTAACTCATTATCAGTTGGGAGATACTTGTAAAACTTTGAAAAATAGACCCATAATTGGAAAAAATGTACACTTCAAAGATTAAACTCAGAAGTATTCAGGGGATATTTATTGAATAAAGCAAAAAAAGAAAAACACCCCAATTGGGTTTAAAAAAATATTTTACCCCAAATAGTAAAAAACAAAGACATCACTTGAACGTATTGTCTTCACCCAACCCCCAGTGGGTTAAAACAAAAGATCATCTCTGCATTAATTCAATCTCAAATTTTACAAAATCTTTAAAAAACGACAAATGATTGGGGTATTGGGATTTATATCACAATATAAAGGTCTAATATTGTTTATTTTCCAGGTATATGAAGTATCTCTACCCATACGAGTGCGAAAAACACAATCTAAGTACGATGGAGGAGCTGAACGCCGCAATTGATGGGAACCGTCGGGACTCCCGCAACATCCAGAGCCCTCCGACCTCCCCCATTCTGAACCCAGGGGGTGCATTTGGAATGCCCTTTCACCCTGGCTTCGGCCGCCCGCCGTACGGCTTTGACGGAGGAATGAACAAGTTTGGAGTATTTGGGTTTCCGGGAATGCCAGGTGTGAACCCAATGGGTTTTCAGCCTAGTCAACATGGGATGTTACAGACAGCCAAAAATATAACCACAAGTGGTAAGCTAAAAAGTCCAAACTTCGATTCTGCATTCAAATACTATGAGCCAATTTTTACTCTAATTTGTTATAGTAAAAAAAATTAGTGAGAAAAAATTAGAAAAAAAAATTAGTAAACACTTTCAGGGTTTAGGAACTTAGACGACATGCAAATTAGACGATCACAAAATATCGAAATTTAGACAATAACTTGCGTGCAAATTGCGTGAATTTTGTTTACAGACTTAAATTAACTTTTGGCTGAGTAAATATTGGTTGTCCGTAAATTCCGTTCCTTTACGGTCGTCTAATTTGCTTGTCGTCTAATTTCCTAGGCCCCATCACTTTCATATCGTAATTAGACTTGTATTGATTTTTTTAAACTTTCAGATGACCGAAACAAATTCAGCTTTGGAATGAAGCCGAACCCACCAGATATTTTCAACCAGTCAGCAATTGCTGCATTGCGTGCCAAATTCCTCAGCTCACTTTCGGCTAATCAATATCTGAACAACCCGAACTCATTCGCTTCTTCGGCGGCCGGCCTCTCAGCTGGTGTGCCGGTTCCGACGAGCATTGGTGGGGCTAATTTGAACCAGGGCACAAATGGCGGATCAGGTTACCCCTCCGCGGCCGCAACTGCAGCTGATATTTTATCACAGAGGGTCGCATTAGCCCAAAGCCAACAGATTGCAGTCATGCAGGTAAAATCTTATGTAATGTTTATATCAAAGTTTTTAAAAAAAAAACAGAAATAGTCGGTTGCAGTACAAGGAACATAATTACTTTTTCACACACACACAAAAAGAGTTTTGCACTTAAAAACATGGAGAGCTGATGCTCAAATAACATTAGAGAATCGCATTTTTTCGTTTTCCTTCGTTAAGTTAACATAGCAATTCAATGATTGGCATCTGAATTATCGATGTAAAAAAAATTACACTAACGAATTGCTTTTCGCTCGGCGCAGATTTTTGAAATCTTTTTTTTTGCAGCTCGAAGGGCCGAAATATGATCTTTCCTTCGGCTCTATCTGGCATCAATTTGTGAAAAACACACACCTGAAAACAAAGTTCTTTCCCATATTGCACAAAAAGTCCCCTTTAAGGCGCAGTACCTTCCAACTATGTGAACTCGTAGGAAACCCTTTTTTTCCATCCGTTTAAGTTTATCTAGAAGCTCAAACTGCATGCAAATTTCTATTGACGTCACAAATAAGTTCATTATAACAAGTTTATAACGAGATTAGCATAAACCTTCCCTTTTTTCGCTGAGAGAAATAAAAGTAATTTTCATAAAAAATCTGGAATTAGCATTTCATGAACCCATCAGCCGATTAAAAACAAACAATATTCATATCTCGTACTATGATCACTTAGATATTTTTCAGCTGAGTTAAAATAAGAAAAAATCTAAATTTTTTTCTTCCAGTTTCAAAAATTGTGACGCAAACAGGTTTTATGACGCTCACTACTTGAAGAAACCTAAAATAGAAAAAATTGAAAACAATCGTTTTGTAAAAAAAAAAATCAATTTTTTCATTTTAGGCGATTTACGAGCAGCAGCAACTATCTGCTATCGAAAACCTTCAGAAAACTATCTCGAGTAATTCAGGCGTGAACTACAACGAAACACAAAATGAGGATGGAGCCAGATCAAGCAGCGAGAAGAAAGAGGCAGTTTCTTCTCCTTTTAAGGAAATGGAAAAACTTATTCCCAATGTCACAATAGTCAACTCTGAAAAACCATCACCGAGTGAAAACAATTCGGAAATTAAATCGCCCAGCGAGGAGAAGTTTAGTGGATTGAAACGACATTTGAGTGACTTGTCGGCCGTCAGTTCGCCGCCGACTAAGCGACGACTCGTGTTTGAGTCTCCGATCCAACAGCAGCCACTGGAGTTGAAAGTGCATAAGAGCGAACAAGAGATTGGCCATGTCTCACAAGGCTCGAATAGCATCGCTGACCAGCTCTCGTTGAAGCACAATTTAGGTAAGCCAGTTTTTTTTCGATCGGACAAATTATATGCAAATTGATTTTTTAGCCCTTTAAACTATTTTTTATTTTTCTTCACTCATCTCAAAAATCTATTCACTATTTTTTTATCAGGAAAAAGTGAACAGAAACTAAAAACTTAAGCTTAAATAGGCTGCTATAAACTAGGTGTATATAAGCTGTACTGTAGGTGTGTATAAATAATTTAGTTTGCACATTTTGAAATGCGATATATTTTTGATTACATCTGCTAATTAGATTTTTCAAAATGAGAGCTAGAAAGTTTGAATTTGAAAAGGTAGCCTTCAATTTGTATTTTACCTGTTTCAGAAAACGTCCGAGTTAATTTCGTAGAACGATCTTCGCCTAGTGAAGTCTCGTTGAAAATTACAGTGGACGGAAAAGTATTCGAAGGGACACTTAGAGTACAAAACAACATCAACGCCTCTTCCCCGCAAACCATATCGCCAACCGAATCAGGGAGCTTCGCATTTAACCCAAATCAGTCCATACTAGCACCTAGGAGCAGCTATCCAGTGTTCCCAACCTCAAGACAAAATGGAAAAGCGTCGCCGTCATCGAAAACAAATTTTCACAACTTGGGCAGTGAAATAGCTGCACAGAACATGTGATCATTTTCGTAATACAACCACGAAATCGTGTAATAATCAAATTGGAAAAAAGCCTCAAATAAGAGTTGAAGGCGAACTTGATAATATTTGATGTTGCTCGAACTAATAAATAAAAACAACTTCGTCGAATTAGTACTCGAATGCTGCAACTATCATGTTTGTTTTTCATATATAATTTATTCCCTTTTCTGTTTAATAAATAGAAGCTAGTTTTGTACAAATCATTTTCGATTGATAAGAAAGAAGCGATAGTTTGAAGACTTTGTCCAAAATAAATGGTAAAGTTGGCTAGGGCCAAAGGCGCGCGCAGGTATTTTTGAGCAAGGGCGGTTTTAGTTTAAAATATGATAAATTTCGTTGATTTTTTTTTTCAGGTCAACACCAAAGATCTTCAGAGCTCTTCCAAAACACTGATGACCCTTTTTTGTTGAAAGTTATGCGCCACTAGCTATTTTATATTGTTTGCGAAAAAAATTATAAAACATTTGACTTTTCATGGAATGTTTTAACACACCGCGTTTTCAGTACGGTAATAACATAAAATAAAGTTAACACCATTTTCAAAACACTAACATGAACAAAAAATTTATTCAAAAAAAATGTTTAATGCCCAAAACGTACTCCACCTATTCACTACCTAGATAAAGTACTTGTTTGAAATTTCATGAAATTGAGCATGTCGGAAGCGTAGCAGCAATTGATTCAACTGACTATGTTAAACTAGCTGTTTAGCTGAAAAAAGTTATTATTCCGATTTGATAAAGCTTGCTAATCGCAAGCGTAAATACCAATTTGAGCAACGGGATCGAAACGTATTTGTTTTCATTACGCAAAGCCATCCCAATTGACCATTGTTAGAATTCAGAGTTGAGCTCTACAAACAACTTGAAAATGAGTTAACAAGTGCACTTGAAAAAAAAAAACAAGCAACAGAACACCAAAACATAAAATGTGTCGTGTTTTTATGGAAAAAAAACTCGGAAAGTTTTTTGAGTGTTTTTGTAGGATTGTGGGGACTTGAATTTGGAATAAAGCTGCCTAAGTGAGTCAAAAGTAAATTAAAAAACATCAAAGGTGCAGTAAACTTAGATAAGGGTCTCTCATTCAATTTTCTGAAGAAATGTTTTTAAAAACAGAACAATTTCGGTAAGTTTTCCGACTGTTAGAGAAATTTGAAAAATATCTTTTCGAAACCCCAATTAAGAGTAAACTTTTTTTGATATGATAGCGCAATTGATTCCCGATGAGATTTGCTCAATGATGTAGCCAATTTTGCGTGATAAAATCTATATTTTAAAGGTACGCGTAGCAAAATCAGAGATTGATTATCATCAGTCTTTCAGAAAAATCTGCGAAAGTGAGGGTCAATCTCTATAAATGTCTGCAAAATTATAATAAGTTTTACATAGCCAAAAATTTCAACTCTACACCAATTGAACATTTGAAAGCAATCAATTGGCAAGTAAGCCTATAAATATTCGCCAAGGACGTCTGCCCCGAAAACTAACTATAACATAGAACAATTTGAGTTTGCTCAACAAGCTGAGTTTCTTAATGTGAAAAGTCTAACAGTTGGTTGCAAACAAGCATAAATAGTTTTGCTAAACATTACCTTTTTTCTCATTCGTATCAACTGTTCGCTTAAATTATTATGGACCGATTATGGCAACAAATATAGATTTCAATAAATTCGCTAATTGGCAAAAGTTAGACGAAGCCGCAATGAGCTATACTAAGAATGAAAAAATGCAGGCTACTAAACCCAAAAAATTCCATAACGACAGCAGAGTAGTAGTGTTTTTGGCAGTAAGAGTTATTCATTGCCTTTGCTAAAAATTTATTAATGGGCTAGAACATCAACATCTTGCAAAAAATTTTCGGAGTTTGTAAAAAGCAAGATTCAAATCAGAAAACGACGGCTCTTGTTCATAAAAAGCAAAAAACATTACAGCTACTTTAAAAGTTTCCACAAATTCAATCATCATCATCAAATAGTTTTACATCGGCATCTTGATGTCGACGTTGGGGTCATCGGTTTCTGTCGCGGCTTTTCGGCGTTTCTTCCCACCCCCTTTGTACTAAATTGAGATATTGACTGACGGACCCTAAAAATTTTCTACAGGCGCAGAAAATTTGGCCAAAACAGGGTCTTTATATCAGAGCTCAGAGAATCAATTCAGTCAACTTCAAAAAAGATCAACAAAATTTTTGAAAGTTTTTTTGAAGATCTTCCTATCTTCCTCCCTCCTTCGAGAAAAACCTAGATTTGCCCCTGTTTTATTGCAAAGTATTGAAGCGGGCCTTTTGCTGATATCCATAAAATTATTCCCATTCAAATGTTGCTCTTGGATTAAGAAAAACCTCATGTGGTCATTTGTTTCAAAGTTTTTTTTTGCATCTTAAAGTGCTGAAGCGGTCATTTTGTGATTGCTGACGCGGTCATTTTGGAGCAAAACAAAATTAAGAAACGAAGCCGATAAAAACTCAAACTGAAAAATGTTCGGGCCGAAAAACTTTTTAAGCGGAAAAAAGTAGGAAAATATTTCAAGTACAATGACAAGTGCAGGTAGCACAAAAAATTCCGCGATGCGTGAAATAAGTCGACAAAACATAAGCAGACAAACAAACAACCGAGTTTTTCCCATTTTTTTTGAACTTCCCTGAAAAAGAAAAAAAAAGATCCTACAGGGGCTCGAACTTTAAGCGTTAGGGTACAAAGGCAATCGCGTTAGCTGTAGACTGAGTGGGAGAGAATTTCGAAGTTAATAAGATTCACTAATAAAGCGACTTCAATTTCTTACAGATTTGAATGAAAAGTTCTCGAGAAAAAATTTTAAATTCACGGTTACAAAACATTTTCAGGCAAGTGTAATAAGTCTAATGCGGCCATATGATTCCATAAAAAAATCTATAACTGTTTATCAAAATTAATAACAGATTTGTAACTATGCAAAAGATCTCACGCGAACGTCTTTAGAATTCTATTATCAATCAAACAAAAAAATGCGCTAATAATGGGCACTCAAAACGTAAATAAGTGCAATTATGAGCAATTGAGGGCAGCGTGGAAATCGCGATATATTTTTTGAACTGATGACGGTTTAGGATGTACGCCGTCCGAAATATGTTTCAATAAAATCTGAACTTCTTGTTTTGACATACAGTAAGTTAGAGGCTATTGCAAGGTGTAATGCAATCCTTTGCAGTATTCATATAGATAACTACGTTCACGAAAGTTGATCTCAGAACTGCACATGTTTTATATCTCGAGTTTACTGAAATGGTTTCATTTGGGTTGAATATAACGCTCCCTGCCTTACATTTTATAAGATTTAATTCCTGTCAGTACTAAGTTACAAGCAATTTGCATATTTCGCTAAATTTTACACTGAGAATTTGTACCGCTCATCAAAAAAATTCCAATTACAAAAATTTAGCCGTGATTTTTTTGTCACCATGAACTCTGTTTTTCCATTTTTCGTACTGATAATCAGTCTTGAGCTCTGAAACTAACAGACAATTTTGTCCAAATCGCTCTGAATCCTCTATGTATTTATATTGTCAATAAAGTTTAGGGTCATTTTTTGAAACTTGCGGAAGCAATTGTAAGGCAATTGCAATTTCTACCTGATAGAAATCATGCGTATAGATTTCAGCACCTTAAGTCAGGTATGCAGTTCTCGGTATTTCGTCACGTGGCATAGATACTTCTTTATAGCTTGGTGGATCTCTAATGGTTGGGCGTTGATCAATAATTTTACCGGGAATATTTTGAAATTTCCACTGAATATATTTATAACCCTCGTCGCTTTCGATTTTTTAAATTGTTATCTACATTTCTGGTTTTTGTCCAAAGGCGAACTGCATTATTTAAAAGAAATGCTTTTTTCAGAAGGTTCCACGCTAGAAAAAGTTGTCAATTTTTCACAACTAAGTCGTTCACCGATTCCTTTTTTAAAATTGACAATGGCCGTGTTTTCTAACAAAAAATACACAGATTTAACATAAAACAGTCTGTGTTCTGCTCAAACATATTCATGATTTCCTTCGTTTTTGAGTGTTTTGCCATTTAATTTCAAAAAAAAACTATTTTGCTTTAAACGTTTCTAGTTTTCTACTACTTCTAAAGTTCATTGAGTTTCTTATTGTTTTGAAAAAATCACAGTACTTAAGTGCTTATGGATAAAAAACAGTTTCAAGTTTCCCTCATTTTCTCTTTATCATTCAACCACTCGTTTTTTTCTTTAATTTTATCCTGACTGGGTCCTACATGATACAACACACAAGACTGTCCCATGATTCGAGCTACCACTGATCAAAACATGATCTGCATTTCAATTTCGCAATTTTAAAAAAATGTTACTAAGTATTTCCAGTTGAAGCTACGGTTTCCGATTAATTATTGGGCAAAAATTTAAACTCCACATTTCTGCTTTTAAAATTACTCAATACAAGTCTGACCAAGGATTTTTAGATTTTTAGGAACTTGAAACTTTCTTCTGTTAAAAAGCTATGATTTTTTCCGTCCTTTTTGACTGCCATAAAAAATCGTGTATTAAGTCAAATATATATTTTAACAAAAAACTTGAGGGTGGGCTGCAGGTTAGAATTTATTCCCTTCGCAATTTCCCATTGCAGCTTCCGACCACGACTGCAAGAGAGTCATATCGCATACAACAAAAATGACTTTTTTTTAGTTAAACAACTCCTACGATCTAGCCTAAATCAATATCCAGGTCCCGGCAATTAATACCATTGTAACTTCTATATAACACCGAGCCGAGCGAGACTTTGGTGGCACAACTGTGCTTGGATACATTTCAGATGTGGTGACCTCTACTTTAGAGAGATTTTACATCAAAACTTAACTGCTCCTCAGGCACTTTCATGTACAATTTACCTCACCCGGAACCCTCAACTTCCTCTAACATTTAAAATACAATACCTCATCTATCAAAACTCCAAAATTGAATATACCCAACTACCTACCCACGAGAGCCACTCCAGATACAATACCCTTCATCATCAATTTCCAACAAATTGCGTTCACTGACTCTCAAAGTAACCAATACTCATATTTATTATTATTATTATTTCAATTTTTTTAATATTAGGACTAATTTAGCGCAAATTTGATTCGAAAATTGGTTGGACTTAACTAGTGCTTAGAGTTTTAGTTGCGCTCCTTTTCCTCCTCTAAATATAAAGCAACAATAAGGGCCTGTTGCTCTGCAGCTAGCTCAGAATTTTTTTAACACAATTATTAAAGAACCGAAAAAAATTACAAGAATTTAAAAAAAATTACAAAAACTTTTAAATCGAATATCGGCTAATTAAGTCTGAAAACGAAAAATTTAGCCCACTTTTTCCGAGAGAAACTTCAATGAGTTTTTCTTGGATTTGAAAAACCCTACGCCATAGTTGCTTCCCACTAGCTTTAGAGGGTGGTCGGATTACAGCGTGTTATTTTCCTAATTTATTACCAACATGTTGAATACGAACTTAACTAACCAATTTCACCAACATGGCCTTCCACGAGAGCAATGAGAAAAAGTTATTCCGATTCTGCTCCTATGCTAGTGGGAGTAAACAATTATTTGTTAGCTTCAAAACAAATATCAATCATCATTTATTGAGTATATCAACAAGATATCATCTTTACATACAAAACCATAATTTCTTTACAAGAACTAGTAACAACTAAATAGAAATGAGACAAACAGATACAAAGATTGGATCACTAATTACAGTCAGCATCTACAGGAAAAAAAACTTTTCCAAGTTGTAAATTAATTATAAAAAATTTACTACATAGCGACTTCATTATATTGAAAAATCGAGATGATCGGATGTTGGTGCAAATTTTGCACCAGTGCAACCTAATTTTTTACTGCAAATCAAATTTGCATTGTGCATATATATATGAAGGCTCTGCTAGCAAAACATTCAAAACTAATCAGCATTTGTTAGAAAATTTTTTCACAAATGTAGATTTAGCTACTATTATTAGCTAATCCACTACATTATACTAAATATTAAATAACTCAGTTTTATTTTCTGTGACACGGTCGCCGTGCGCAGTGACCGAAAACTCTACGTGACTTGGTTCAATTTTATTGATTACAGGCGAAGCCCTAATTTGTGTGGTCGGCATGTTAACATCTGCATTTACGGAGAGAGTTTGTGTTTCAGTTCGGTTCGTGTGTTTTGAAATGCTATCATCTTCCATATAAATCTGACTTTCTGCAGCCTTCAGTGACTCGGTATTATCCTCATAAACAGCAACGTCGCATAAAATTGAAGTATCGTGACTAGGGTTGTCAACACCGTGAGAAGAGCGTTCAACCAGGCGTTCCTGTAAGCCTTCGTTTGTTCTCGAGAGATTCGAATTCGGATATTGCGTTCTTGGAGTAGTAGTGCCGTTTCCTTCGTCGTCCAATCGGGTGCGCCCATTACCCCGTATTCTGTCTTTCACTTTTTGACCTGAAACCAGGGGGGTTTTCGAACCACCTTTAGCTAGACCAAATCTATTTTTAAAAGACGTTTCAGAAAGATCAAACTGATTTTCAAAAAATAAACCATGTGGAATTGATTGAGGAAGTTAATAAAAAGTCTTGCCGACATTTTTAAGGTTAGACGGTTCAAATTCATAAAATAGACCGAAGAGGACCGAATACTAACGGACGATGTATCCATGACTAATGACATCATTGCCCACATCTCGGATGTCGAACATGTTCTGGACTGCGGTGACGAATTTCACCCTTTTTTGAGTGGTGTCTTTGAACTCTCGGTGGGTGAAGGCATAGTGGTGAGCAATGGCTGCAGCAAACATCTCAAAACACACTGCAAAGTCCTGCAACACAAACAATACAAACTAACGAGAATATTCGGCTGCTGTGCAAGTAGCACAGAAAGTTCCGACGACAATAAAAAATATATTGCCAACTGACGGGTAGAAAACTGTCCAACAGAACAAGGAAACCGAAAAGAGTCTTTCAACTTTCGAAAACAATATATCGAATTAAATTTCAAGACCTGTTTAAAAAAGGCTTTTTTAAAAAAAATTAACCCACTCTGAGAACTGGATCAATAGTGAATTTTTTAGTCCGCTGGAAATGCAGAAGACTTAAGTTCATTTTTGAAACTAGAAGTAGTTCATGGCCTTATATTCTTCAGAGACTTTTACTGTTCGATGCTGGAATTTGCCTTTCTTTTAGCAGCGAAAAGAAATAGAAAGTCAAACCATACAAACAAATTACACAGAGGCGAAGTTGCACTTCGCATCACAAGCAAAAACATGACCGATAACGCTACTAGGAAAAACTGAATGAGTAATACTTAGATTCTACAAAATTTCATAAGTGACGCACGCCAATTATGAGTCTAGATAACTGCGAAATGACTCAAGCCAATTAAGACGCATTAGCAGTACCAGTCAATTTGAAAAAGAAAAAACAAATTTACCCTCTAACATGCCTTAATTTATAAAGCGGACGCAATTAAAATAGTATACGAAAAATTCATTAAAAACATCAAAAAACATCCGACCCTGCCTAGGTTCGAACCCTCTTATTTTGCTGCTTGTCACCCTCCCTACCTCTACGCTACATATCCATGAAGCTAAAGTGCCATTTGTAATATAATAGTCCGCGTATATATCCTTAGCATTGGCTGTACTTAATAGCTGGATCAAAATGAACACTTTCAAAATGACACAGTTTATCGCAAAAATTGCATCGCAACAATATTTGCGTCTTAGGTTGGAAAAAAAGAAAGTTCATACTATAATACAATCTATGCTTCTGTAAAAATTGAGCGTGAAAACTATAAACACAGATGCGCAGCTGCATTTCGCAAACAAACGCGAGAAAAGGACAAAAACAGCTCTACAAACTGAAAAAATAGCTAACAGAAGCTTGGATAAGTGTAGAGAATAAAGAAAGTAAAAAAGATAGAACATTTAGACCATTTTTTGACTTAAGAAAAAAGCAGGTTAAGGCTCTTTGAAATTCAGGAAAAAAACTATGATTGGTACTTTAGTTGATAGAATGAACCAAAATTAAAAAAAAACTAGATCAATGGGTTGAAATATTTCTCCGCTTGAAAATTTTAAAATTAAAATCCACTATCGAAATCGTCCACTACCGAAATCGTAAGGTTACTAACACCAACCACCAATAAAGCAGCTCCAGATGCTTATAAGTTTCCGATATTACACAAAAAAAATCAGCGGTACGTGGGGCATTGATCCTCCGAGCAGTAAATTTAGAGTCTCACATCTGTGCCATTGTTGCTTAACGATCGTCAAACACTAGCCGCCAACAATGCAGAAAACAGATGCTATGAATTTTCTCATGCCACATGTCATGATTATAGCAGAAAATCCGCCAAATGAGCACTTGTATTTGCGACTTAGGCTGAAAAAAAAAATAGATTTATACTATTACACTACGCCCGTTACAGCTCGCATGTGTAAAGGAGTTGCTTTTAATTTCATACTGTGTTGTTTAAAATTCGTGATGTGATGAGAGGAAGATTAGAACTTAGTCATATTCGATAGTAAATTTAGCATATTCGACAACAGTGTTCGGCGAAAAATGAAAAAAAAAATTGAAAACACGATTAGGCGCTAAAAAACTTCAACAACTAATTTCACTGAGTCAAACTAAGTATTCAAGGGATCGCCCTATTAAAACCCGCTGATTCGTCTAAAAATAAAGTAGGTCATAGCTCACTCCTTAGTAAAGTGGTCCAAAAATTAAGAAAATAAATAGATCCAACAGACACAGACATCTAATTCAAAATACTTGAAGTAACAACTAAAAGCTGACTTCACCGTGTAACATGGCTGCCCGCACCTCACAGAGCAGTTGAATAAATACAAACAGTAAGAAACAAGGATAGCTGGCTGCTGTACTAGTTGCACAGAAAGTTCCTCATTCATACACTTTTTAGAAAAAGTTTTCTCAAAATTTGTGTGTGGTGTGATAGAAGCCTAAAGACAGAGGCGAAGTTGCACTTCGCATACACAAGCAAAAATATGACCGATAACGCTACTGGGAAATACTGAATGGGTAAAACTTTGAACCTACAAAATTTCATAGGTGACCCACGCCAATTACGAGTCTAGATAATTGCGAAGTGACTCAAGCCAATTAAGACGCATTAGCAGTACCAGTCAATTTGAAAAATAAAATTTACCCTCTAACAAGCCTCAATTTATAGAGCGGACGCATTTAAAATAGTATACGAAAAGTTCATTAAAAACATCCGACCCTGCCCAGGTTCGAACCCTCTTATTTTGCTGCTGGTCTCCTTCCCTTCCTCTACGCTACAGATCTATGATGCCTTAAAGCTAAAGTGGTATTTGTAATATAATAGTCTGCGTTAATACCCTTAGCATTGGCTGTACTTAATCGCTGGTTATTGATCTTATGCATATACTGCAATAAAAGAGCACTTTCAAAAAGAGCACTAATATTTGCGACTTAGGTTGGAAAAAAAGAGAGCTCACAAGCTTTGCTTGTCAAAAGAACGCGTATAACGCTAGTGAATCATAACTTTGTCAACAACTGTCGAAAAATGAAAAACGAACAAAACAATGAAAAAGATTATTTCTTAACTTTTTTTCTTCTTTTTTTTTGCAGAATAATTTTTTGATATAAAAAATTTTTATCGCAAAGGAAACGCCAACTGAAAGCTCCAAACTTAGTTTTTCTGGAGAAAAACAGTTTTTCACTACTAAAACAAAAAAAAATTCTTTAAGACATACTCGCTGGCTTCAATGACAAGGACCTACTCGCTCGAAAAACTAAAACCCAAAATTTCAAACCGGCTTTTCTCGCCACTGCAAAGTTTTTTTGAAAATTTTAATGTCGTTCGAATCACAACTGAAAAAGGCTTGAAGCTGATTTTGCTTCCAGTGGTCGGGAACAACAACTGTGGATCCGACCTTTTTTAAACCACATCATACAATGAAGAGCGCAAGCGTTCACCAATTATCATTATTTTGCTCACCTGTATTGCATGTGAGACCTCAACGTCACTCGCACTCTTAGCCGCAATCCACTTCACTTCCTGCAGATTGAATATTTGCACAAGGATGCTGATTGCCAAACTTTGCCTGAAAGATACCAGACAAAATCACACGAAATTCGAAGGTCATATCTTAGTCATGATAAAATGATCATTGATTGAATCACTCATATAATTCAGAACAGTAAAGCGACGTTTGAATGACGCACACTACAGATACTGAAAAATTATATGATGGCGCAAAGCGAATCTTACCACCAAGTGGCGAAGATGACCATTTTAATGCAGAGGAATTTAGCTACAGGGCGAGACCCCTTCAGTTCCTGTTTGAAGGTGCGGTAGAACAGCACGAGACAGTAGAGTGCCCACACCTGGGAGACGTTGTTGAGCACCATAGAGTAGATCCAGGCGTAGGAGAGGTCCCACTTGCCCTCTTGATACACCTGGAAACAGAACCGACAAAAAAATCACCCAATTTTATAACATCTGCGCCTTATTTTTTTTCCTAAACTCGGTTCTTAAACCTTTCCATATTGCTATCTTGAGTACTTTTTCAAACTGAGCTAATTTATATCAGCGTTTACAAATCTTCACTAATTTGACGGTGGAATAAATACGTTATTGAAATTGCCGAGCAAAACAAAAAATGGACGATTTCTTTGAGGTGAGCGATCTTCGTGTTCCTAAAAATCTTCTTAGCGTGGTGTTCCTAAAAATCTCAAGAGAAAGAGATTAAATAAAAATTGCATAATATGGAAATTTATATTAGTTATCAATATGCGTGATAAGTTAGCATATCTAAAATTAAAAAAAACTAGGAATTTATTATTTCAGAACAACTAACTAACACCAAATATGGACGTTATGACTGTGACGACAGTTATGATTGGCTTCACCAGCGTGTACTGCAGCACCCCAATGGTACAGTTCACTATACTGTCATGGCTTTGCCAGCCACTCATGCAGCAGCAGGGGAAGATGTGTTTGGCACTCTTCGTGGAAAAGTCGAGCGAACTCTGCAGTTGGATGTACTTGACGAGATAGCAGGTGAAGCTGTACACTACAAATGCCTCGTAGCAATCCTTGATGGCGTCCAGGATTACATTCTTGTCTGTGAAGTGCAGTCCACAAAACTACAATAGAAACACGGCACAAATATACATACATTTACACATCAGTCCTTAAAGTTAATTTGGAGACATTAACATCACGTTCAAATTACTAGCCTGGAATGAATTAAATTGAATTTTTTTCTACTCGAATCGCCCTCAAATATGTATGTCTTTGTTTCCATTTGAACCATATGAAAAATCAACTTACACTCAATATTGAGTAGATTGGAACCATCCACAGCACCCTAAAAGCACTTATTATTTCGGAAATATAGGAGTAAAAGAGGAGTAAAAGAGGTTAAAGTTCAATAAATGTTTTACCAACAGCACGATCTATTCGATCTAACAAGTAAAACATGTTTATGTTCTCCGCTTAATGAGACAATTAAAAACGGGCCGTTCTGGCCTAATGGTGTTCACCCATGCTATTCATATTTGTTTAAGTTTATACACAGGGGGGAAGCAGAGCTTCGCATCGCACCATTTGCCATAGAAAACTGAATGACTATCACTACTTAAAGATGAACCGACAAATCAAAAATATAAATGCCTTATAAAGAGAATCTTTAATTACCTGCACCTATAAATATTAACAAACAAAGCGAAGCGAAGCTTCGCACTACTAGCGCTTTAAACGCATACATAGCATGAAAAAATAATCGACTGATACAAATAAAAACCGCAGAATTTTTTCGCAAAAAAAAATCAAAACAATGGATCTAAACAATTTTTCAACATTTGTCTTTATTTCGTCTTGGATTAATTCCAAGAAAAAATGTTAAGAAATTAAAAACAAAGCCAAAAAATAGTTAAAAAAAGAGTCAATAAATGCAAGTAAAAATAAAAACATACTGAGTTTTTTTTGAAAAAATCTCAATTTTCGAATCTCAACGAAACAGATAGATGCCTTTAAAGCTCTTTTAAATTTCTAGAACAATTTATGACCTGCACTTTTTAAATAAATAACTCAATTTGAGAAAACTGGATCAATGAGTAAATGTTTTCTTTGGCTGGGAATCTAAAAATAAATTCAACTTTCCAAACTAAAAGTCGATCACGTTTTTAGTGACCTTTACACATTCAGCGTTCGATCGTGGAGTTTGCATTCCTTTTATCAAAGAAAATGAATGTAATTTAAAAAGAAATCACGAAAGTTTCAGTTATTAATAACTTGATAACAAAAATCTTCAATTATGAACGGAGTTGATACAACTCATTGTTAGACTAATGAAGCTGAATTGCACATTTTTTTCTGAATCGAAATAAAAATCAAGCATAAAAATAGCGATCTCAGGTCGAAAAACCGTTCTGACGAAAAACCAACAGAAAAAATCTTCTTCCTTTTAACTTCAAAACTTCAAGTATCAGAAGTTTGGAATGAACTCTTATCACAATTTGATCGAAATCCGAAGAATCTTGATTTCAAAAAAAATTAGTTTTAGACGGAATGAAATTGCGGGAGAATTTCGCTTCACCATATAAAACACCTGGATGGCTTTCCTCGATCTCTGCTTAAAATGATCCAGCCAATTTAGATTGCTGTTAATAATCAACCGAAGATCTTTTTGCGAGTCAGCAGTTGTCAGGAATTCAATTTCGAAGCTCAAAGTAGAGCTCTCTGATTTGTTACAACTCATCAACATACATTTGTCTGCATTCAAAATTATTCTATTCTCCTGACTCCGATGGAAAACTTTATCGAACTCAGATTGAAGCGCTTCTTGATTTCCGTTGATGCTCAAGAACTTGGCATCATCTGCGAATAAATTAGTAAGCGAGCATTTGGCCTTGTCAGGCAGATTATTGATGAAAATGTTATAACAAGGGTGATAAAATAGCCCCTTGAGGAACGCCACTGCTAGCAATGTAGATTTTTGAAATGGAGTTACCAACTTTGACTTGCTGTTTTCTGTTCACAAGATGAGATTTTATGTATTTTCGCTCTAATGCCTGTTTTTATAACTCAATCAAAACCTTTCTCAAAATCGGTATAAAGAACGTCAATTTTTCTCTCGGTTAATGCCGAATAAACTTTGTCCAGAGAAACAATACGATTCTGTGATCTCCTTCGTCTAAAACAAAATTGATAGTCATTCAAATAAGAACGATCGTGATCATACAAAGTTGGGAAAATAACTGCTTCACAAAACTTAGCGCCCACACAGGTTAGTGATACAGTTCGATAGTTTTCAATGTTTACTTTGCTACTTCCTTATGAATTGGACTGACAGTGGCTCGTTTCCAGATGTCAGGGAACTCGCCTAACTCGAGTGACTTCTTTTATGATTTGATACTAAGACCTGCTTAATATTGAGATAGCTCTCAATATCGCTGTCTGTAATTATTATACTATTTATGATTGGGAGAGGACATTCAGGTATGTTGGTATGTGGGAAAAACTAGCTTGACGCTGGAATTAACACTTAAAAAGAAATCGCCGAATAAATCGGTTCGCTCAAAACTTGTGTGTGCTATCTTCTTCTTATAAAACATCGAAGATGGTAAGCTTGACTTATTTAATTGTCGTTAAAATTTAAAAAGTCTGACAGTGTTTCTAACAGATGTCAAGGCTTCTTCATACATCTTTTGATCCTCTTCGATTCAAGTATTTACCTCCGTTTCAAGAGAAACTACTTTTTTCTTGCTTATTTAAACGATTCATTAAATTTGAGTTTTGAGGATTTATCCAAGGAGAGAGGTTATTTCGATGAACGTTTCGCCTTGGAATGCACTGATCTATGCGCTGTAGGATCCAATAAAATTTGACCAACAATAGCATTTGAAAAGGAGCTGTTTTTATAGTGAGACTTAACTGTTTGTAGTCGCGTTGCAGTAGCTCAATTTAGGAGTTGATTTGACCATTTTGAGAAGGTCAAAATCGTTTTTAAAAGTAAAGAGTAATACCGATGCCAAATGATCTGAAGTTAGGCCTTCAATAGGCTGAAACGGTTCAATTGAAACAATATCGACATTTTTCGATATAAAAATGAGGTCAAGAGTGTTGCTTGATGTCGTTTTGTAGGTTATGATTTAATGCAAATTTTTATTTTCGGCAAATAGTTTACTTTGGGTTTAAGCATTGCCTTTATCGTTTTAAGTATGGACGTTACCACTAAACTAAACAGGCAAAATTGATATCAATACCTTGATGTACAAATGAAGTAAATAGAGGCAATTGAGCAACGGGTTCAACTTTTTTTGTTCAACCCGAAAAAAAACTATATTCCGATTTCCTAATGCTTGCCTTTCACCAGCGTAACAACATAAAGAAGTTGCATAAACATATTAATAATAGTTGCGACCTAAGTTAAAAAACGAACTTAAACACCGAAACATGATTTTTTAACACAGAGGCAACATAACAAACCAATAAGTCGAAAAAAATATATATAAGTTGAAAAAAAAAACCAAAACGTTCGTATAACCAATACAAGAAAACTAGGGGCCAAACAAAACTTGCAGGTAGCTGTTTGATATTTGTGGAATTTGTTTTACTTATGGGTGATTTCAAAAACTGCACTTTGCCCGAAACCTTAGTTGCTTCTCTACTAACATAACTAAGAGTGAAAATTTGAAGGAAAAGCTATCTTCCCAAATACATAAAAAATTCCCCGCCTCTTCCGCAGGAAAATTTCTCGTTCCAAATTTTTCCAGTGAACCCTTCATTTCAAATTTGATCGAATAGTTTCTATGAAAATCAAAAAATTTCTAAAAAAAAAACGGTTAGAAATTCAAAAAATTGACTTTCAGAAATCTATCACTTTTTTCTACAATGAGAAGGTCGTAGCTACTTAAACGTTATCAAAAAGGGGTTCACGATTGAACCTGAAAACAACCTAAAAATTGGCAGGGTAATTTACGAACCAAAAAGTTTCCAAAAAACGATCAAAAATCAAAAAGTTGACCGTTCCGCGAATCATACCTTTTTGTGTACAAAAAAATTGGGCATAGCCACTTTATCAGAATAGATTCACACAAGGTGTTGTTTCGATTGAACGCAAAAATTCGTTTCGTTTTTGAGAGTTTCGTCAAATATTTTGAAAAGACTGTAGAAAAACCAATTATCGGAGGCCATAACTTTTTGTCGAAAAAATTTGGGCTAGCCGCTATGCATGTGAGCTTCTCATAGCGCCTTTTATCCATGGAACATAAAATCTCAGATTTGCGAGGCGAGAGTAGATTTTGAGAAAAACGAAAAAATCCAAAAATCCAGAAAAACGAAAAAAATCCTAAATTTTCATCATACCTGATTTTGTCGAACAGGAATTTTTGGCCGTCGAAATCACAAAATATAAGATGACTACGCCAATGCAATATCAGCCGAAACCTTTAGGTCGAAAAAAATTTTGATCGAAAAAAATTTTGATCGAAAAAAATTTGGTGGAAAATTTATTCAAAACCAGACGTGGTAAAATGGCAAAATTACAGAACTTTCAAATAGTAAAAAAAATTAAACCAAAGTAAAATCCACGCTTTAAAAATTAGGTTGAAGAAAATTATTACCAGATTATAAAAATAATAATTAAAACTAGAAGTGAAGATCCTCTCGAAGAGGAGATCCTCTAGAGGTGATCCTGTGGACAAAGTTGTTTACGGGAAAAAAGTCTAGTACCCGATTGATTTTTTTTCACAATTTCTCATTTTAACTTTAATCGAGGGCTTCAAAGGGTGCGTTAGATTTTTCAAAAAATTCTTATTAATCTTAAGCCGGTCTCATTTAAAACCAAAAAATATATACAAAAACAAAAAAAATATTAGGGAAAAAAGCCGAACGACCTCGGCGCTGAAAAATTACCAAAAACTTACGGCACAGATAGAAAAAACTTTGCAAATCCTAGCGTTCATCTGCAGCTTTTAATGCCCAACGGTACAATGCAATTAAAACACTCGAACCATGCTGTTAATTCAGAGGTTAAAAAAATTACCTTTCGACCTTTCAGCGAACAAAAGGGAAAAAATTCTTGTACCCGATTGCAATACCCTTGCTTATCGCAAGAGTAATAAGTAAATCGTAACTAGATATCGTTTGAAAACTTTGCGCGATTATCAATTCATTAAAATTGATCCCCTTGACTTCAAACTTGGTGAGAGCAATTAAAACATGCCCAATAGACAGTTAGAAAAAGTAAATGAACGCAAAGAAAAAAATGACTTCTTTTTGAAAAAACTTTCGAAATATAAATATATGGCCTTGAAGATCTTTTGAAATTCAAGAAAACTATTATTAACACTGTCTTGTTTAGATTAACTCAATTGGAGAAAACTGGATCAATAGGCTGTTTTTATTCCGCTGGAAAAATTAAAATCCACTGTCGAAATTAGAAATCGATCACGTTTTTCATGAACTTTTTTTTTCTGTTCGTTAATGGAGTTTAACAAATGACGTGAGCTGAACTGAAAAAAAAATCAAAAGTCAACCCGCAAAAAATGAAATTTGAACCTGAAAATCATCACGACCTATAGAAGAGACTTCACTGCGGTCATTGATTCTTAAAAAGGCTGAAATAGATCTGTAACATTGCAGAAGCCATAAGCTAGCCTAAACATCAACACAGAGGCGAAGCTGCGCTTCGCAAACAGTAGCCAGAACACGACAAAAAGCCGCTCTATAAAAAGCAAAAAAAAAGAAGAAATAAGCCTAGAATTAGTTAAAGTTCGGCTACGCCATGGATTCGGTCTGCGACTTAGAGCTTTTGAGTCTCACGCACTAACCACTCAGCCGCGGACGCTTAACTTATCACAAACACTAGCCACAAATAAAGCAGAGAACAGATGCTATGAAATATTTCCAATGCTACAGATCGTGATTATAGCAAAAAAGCCACCAATTAAGAGAACACTTCTACTTGCGAGTTAGGTTAGAAAAAAGAAGGTTCGTACTAATACACTTACTCTCGCAAGCTTGCTAGTGTAAACAAACTTTCATTCCAATACGAGTTTGCCTTAAAGCATTCTTTTCAACTTATGACATTCCAACGCATGGTGAAATGATTTTGAAAACTGTCTCACCGTATGATGTACATTTGTAGAGAAGGCTTCGTGTAATTAATCAAGTGTTGTGAAATGCCCCAAAGCGACATTGGCACTGTAAACGCCATCGCGATACCTGCCAGAAAGTTTGCCGACGTGAACTGATTAATATTATACGAGTGCATTCCCAACAAAAGCACAATAGAAACGGCTACAAAAAGAATAATGTATATACAAATAATCAGTTGTCGAAGCCATACACGCCAAGACGCTAGGCAGTAAGTACAGCATGTTGGCTCAGGAAACACTGAATAGTGATTGGCTGACGAATTTGGCGAGCTTTCTGATTGGTTACTGCTCGCTGTCGTTAGAAACTCGTCGTCTGTATTGATATTTGATTGGTCGATGTATCCATCAGTGTAATCATCACTTCCATCGCTATGACCGTCGTTGTTGATCACCATGCTAACTACACTTAATTTTGACACAAAATGTTTGAAGCTTACGTAATGATCCAGCTAATTATTCCTATTCAAGGCCTACTAATGACCTTGTTCTACGTACATAACATCTAAAAGTTACAAATAAACTAGCAACTCCGCGACATTTTCATTCACCACAGAATTCAGTAAGAACTACAGAAGTTTTCCAGCTTATTTACGAAAACAAAAACAAGATCGAAAGAATTAATTTATTATTGGCTGCATTCGCAGCCCTAGAGTGAAACTTTCTCATCAGTTTAATTCAAATAAAATTCGATTAGCACAAATTGATGCTGATAGAAAAGTCATTCAATGACAGAGCAGATGCACGAAACAGAAATTTAAAAATATTTGGAAAGCGATTTTAAATTAAGAAAGCTAATCAAAATTTCTGATAATTTGCACTTCAATTGTTACAAAAATGGGAAACCATCAATACCAATTTTAACGGGACTGGAAATGCAATATTCAGGAAACCGTGGATTTGATTATGAAACCGTTATGAAGAGTATGTTTCCTTCGTTTTATTTTCAGTTATTGGTGTTCATCAACTATAATTATTCCCAGTCCAAATTGCATGAAGTGGAATCAGTCTCGGACTGACCATTAATTGATGATTTGGACTATTAATAGTAATACATTGTTGTACTGTACAATTCATAAACTTAAGAGATACACTACTGTACAAAAGGGAAACTAAGTTGAAGGTTGAATCGCAGAAACTATTCACTCTCAAATACATTGAAAGTAAGAGGGTCGTTCGCTGGGTGAAGTTACATTTGTACCAACGTTCATTTGTACCAAAATGAAAAATCGGTCCCATTTGTACTGTACCATCGGTACTCGTTTTCTGATTTGTCGAATTGTGAGCCAACGAATTATCTCATTAATTTTCTACTGTTCAAACAGAAGAAAACTAAACAGCAGAATAGTGACCGCCGCAGTCGCGCCAACGTGTTGCGAGCTTGCCAACAGAGGGTAGGACTCTATACGAAAATTAGAGCCGGTTATCGCCTCAAAGCAGCGACGCGCGCGTAGCGCGCCCACCGGCGACCTTAAACCAAACGCTTAAAATAGTCGGCTTAGTAGTCTTTGTCCAATTGAATATTTTTTGGTACTAACGGGATTGATTTTTATTTTGGTACAAATGGGACTGATTTATCATTTTGGTACTTGTGAATCCCCACCGTGCGCTGTATAGCAAATCCCTAAAACGTCAATTCTCGAGCTGCCAAAATAACTCAAATGACTCTTTCAAAATTCCAAAATGGCTCCTTTATAATGATTCAACTGTCATTTCAACTCCATTTTTGCTTCCAGCAACAATTCCATGCCAATTATCAAATTAGAAGCAGGTTATAATACATAATCCATTGAAAATATGTTGCAGTTAATCAGAATTGATGAAAATGATCGCCTGACGATAACAAAATTGAGACACCCGTCTCCTCTCGAAGCATTACTTATTATTATAACCTGCAGTATAAAAACGGACAATCTCCTTTAAAAGTGGTTCAAATTGTATACATTTGGCTTTAGCACCAAAACCAGTAGCACATAGAAACACGCAATCGGCTCTGAAAACAACCGAAAAAAAACTGCAAATAGTTAAAATTAGTTGGACGCTATCATAGACCACTCAAACGGTCTTCAAAAATTTCAATCAGAATTAAATAAATATTTTCAATCAATTTCAACAGAGGATGCAAGTTTTGAAGGGTACATCCATCATTGTGTGCATTAGTACATGCTTGAAAAATCAAAAGTATCGACTGTTTTTTCCCATAAACCGTGGTGGTAACGTGTACTTTTTAGTCCCTTCTGTAATCGGAAACCCACTTTGCTGTTGAATCACATTCCCATTTAAGCCCATGGGTCTAGTCACGTCGGCAGTGTTAACACTCTCATGATCGTTTTCTACACAAGTAGACCTAAATATACTGTGAGCAGTTTCTCTGTATATGGGTCCGGGTGGCGAATTGTCCTCTGTCTCTGGTGCAACTGTATTCGGCGGCGTCATTGGCGAAGAACTTCTGCTGTTATGTAAGGAAGACTCGCCGTTGGTTATGTTATTTCGATATCCAATCACCGACATTTGCTGTAATTGAGAGGAGCTGTTGCCATCAATCGAAATGTTTCGTCCAACAGATGAGTAGCTGGTCGTGCTATCCGGTTTCTCAATTCTCGGACTCTCCGTGACATATAAGTTCTGGTTATTTTGGTTGAAATTAGAAACCATTGACATTTGCGACATCGAATCTTCAGGACTTATGGAGGGCAAATCATTTTCATGAGCCATGAACTGAATACCTTGGTTAGATGAGTTCATTTCGCCACTAGCATCTCCAAAATCCATTTGTATTGGCTGGTAGTTCTGAACGTAGCGAGACGTATCATAGCAACTTACAATAGGCCCGTTTCTACTTTCGCCAATCAGGTGATTGCTCGTAGAATTTCCATTTGTTATGAATCCCTGAACAGGGATAGGTTGATTACTATTACTATTATTAACAGGTGAGTTCGACGGGTGAAATGCTTCGTCCAAGTTTGGAAGCGAACTGTTGTTGTGAGCTGCATGATTGCTGCCATCAAGTAGATAAGGTTTTGTGTCACTTTCGAACCTTCTGTATTCCATCTGGCCTAGATGCGTATTCTCTCGCTTCTTAAACAAAATTTCGAACAAACTCAACAATTTGCAAAGGGGTACCACAATATACAATTTTTGTCTTACTTCTTGCTACTATCAGACACCCAACAAAGAAAAACTTAACAACTTCATATCAGTTTTTTTTAGACATTGTGATCGGAACATTGTGACTAGCCGTTTGCTGTAGAATTATCACAAAACGTTCCGACCAGTTTTGATTTTCAACAATCCTCGTTGATAGACAATTTTTTTCTTCAAAAAACTAACATTTCAATTAAAACTCTTTGTTTCAATTAATGAAAAATTTGGTCTGAACTATTTTTTAACTTTTGGCTCAGGACATTCATATATTTCAGATGGTATCAAAAAATTATCTTTCAGTTCACTAATTAAAAAGTCAAAAATTGCAAGAAGACGAAAATACCGAGAATTTGGGTCACTTCATTAGAAAACCGGAATGGACAATTCGCAAGCTGGTTGTACGGCCACAATATGCGACACGGTCGTAGATGAGATCTCTTTCTTGTTGATCATCTCGGTTTATGATATAACAGGAACAAAAACCTTTGCAGCAGATGCAAACCCATATCATAAACCGCAACTCCAATAAATGGCTGAAAATTGTATGCTCAAGACTTTCAGCCATTTCTTGAGGCCAAAAAAGAAGTGGCATTAAAAATAGAATCAGAATGTCTGAGCCATAAAAAAATCTAGTATCCGATTTTGAGACATTTGCTCTCGAAAGTGTAGTAACCAATCGTGAATGCGGGTATTTTAAGATAAAAAATTAACTTACACATTGGCCCGTGGAGGATTTTCCGGTTCCTATAGCTCTGTCAATGTCATGCTGCTGGCGTAAAACAATATCAACTTCGTCCATTTGCCTGTACTGGCCATCGTTTAAAATTATCTCGTGGTTGTTTGCACTTCTCAAACTCGAGTTCGCATCAAAGTTTTTAGACTGCGTATTCATTTTGCACTCATTTGAACTCAGGTTGAAATTCGACTGTATAAAGGAGCCAAGTGGAGCTAAATTTGTGATAGATTTTGTCAGTGCATCAGATTGTCTTTGAAGATTCTCCGAAAGGGTGGTATGATCGGGTTCTCTGAAGGAGGTTATGTCAATCAGAGTTCTGCTTACATGTTTGATTGAAGGAGTGAGCGACAGCGTTAGCATTGGTCCAAAGTTCTCGTTTGTTTGGTGTTCAATTGATTGCACAGTAGCACTTGATTCGTTCACAGTTTTAGACGGCGAAGGCGGATGAATGACACGAGGCACTATGTTCACAGGGACACATCGAAGGCTTAAATTGTTACCAGGCCCGATATTTCTAAGCACTACATTTTGATTTGGCAGTAAACTACCCGAGCTCCTCGGGATTTCATTTGCTGAAGTTAAATAAACACATTGCGAGAAAGGGAGAGATTGCAAACTTTCAGACGATGAGTTGACAAGCTGAGGTGTTTGCTGATGCTCTCGAAAAATGAGCGACGGTACTTCAGAGTTATTCGAGCTGCTGTCATTTACTAGGTGCTGTAGATTTTGTCCCTCGTTATTTGAAGGAGGCAACTGGAATCTGACTTCGGGTGCACCAGTTGGTGTTATTTGCGTTCCGTACTTCGAGGCCTGCTGGTATCCATCTTTTCGGGTGACTACCTAAATTTCAAAGCGCACCAGTGAATATCACATCAATTACTGATCATTTCAAAATTATAACAAGCTTAGGCTAATTAGTTCCTGTCATGTTGCTTTTCCATGCGTCCAAAATGGGGACAATGGATATTATTGTAGTTTCTCAGTTCTTTATTGACATATTTACACTAGCAAGAGTCTTGTACTGTAATCGGGAACTAGACTTCCCGTAAACAACTTTTCTAAGAAGAAATTGAAATTGCAATAATATTGAACCGAAACAGCTTCCAGAATTCTTCTTACTTGACCTGGAGGTCACACATTTGCTTTTGCACCCTATGGTCTGGGGTTTGAGTTCCGGTAGGACCTTAATTTTTTTCAGTATGTAAATTGAAAATTTTTTCAGGTAAAAAAATAATTGTAAGACTTCCGTTAATTGTAAGACTCAAAAAATCAAATGTGAGACTCATACTTTATCGGCTAAAGTGACACATCACGGCGTTTTCTTGAGCTATAAGCAAGTTTCGAGGTGGTTGCAACTGCTTTTCAATGAAGTTTCACGGGAGTTTTTAAAGTGTTTTCTACGAAATCATTTTTTTTCGGCTCAACTGGTTTCAGCTTTGTTTCCGCTTCGTAAGATTTGCTCCGTTATTAAGTTGAAATTTCAATGTCTTTCGTCGCATGTTTTCCAAGAGTTTTTAATTGATAAAAAAAAGTTACTACAAACTTTGAGCCCTTGGAAAAGTCAAATTTTCAACTTTTTTGATCATTTTTTCAATTTTTTTTGACTTTTCTCGAAAACTACCCTTCCAGATCTGAGATTTTGTATTCAAAAAACAAAACAAGTCATGAGAAGCTCCCCTGCATTGAGGAATTGTAGTAAGCTTCGATGCATGAGCGGTTACGCCAAATAATTTTACACAAAAATTTATGGCCCTTGAAAAAGTCAAATATTCAATTTTTTTGAAGTTATTTGAGCTTTCTCAAAAACTACCCTCCCAGGTTTGAACTTTTGGCTCCACTCGAACTAACAGGTCATGTGAATCTCTTCTGCACAAGCGGCTACACCCATTTTTTAAATGCAAAAGCTATGATTCTCGGAAAATTCAAATTTTTGGTTAGTTGACCATTTTTTGGAAACCGTTTGAATTTTCGGGAAAACTACCCTGCCAATTCTTAGATTCTTCAATGTTCAATCGAGAAAACCAGTTAGAGACATCTTATCTGCTTAAGCTGCCACCATATACTTTTTGCAGAAAAAAAGTTATGGATTTCGGAAAGTCACGTTTTCAAACTTCTGGCTGTTTTTTAGAATATTTTTGACTTTTATGAAAAACTAACTCATCAAATTTGAGATGATGGGTTCAATTAAAAGAACTGGTTGCAAAAATTTGTCCTGCAGAAGTGATGACTGGTTAACTTTTTGAAAAAAAGTTTCAAACTTATTTTAGCAGAGAAGCAACTAAGGCAAAGTCCAATTTTTGAAATTCGAAATTACCCATTTCATCCCACATCGGTATAACACATTCAAAAAATATCTAATACGTAATTCCAGTTTTAGCTGGGCCCCCGGTTTTCTTTTATCAAGAAATGCAAAAAGTTGGGTTTACTAGTTTTTTTTGGCAAGGTTTTTCACTTTTATCGCACGCCTTAATGGAGAAATTACCTGCAGAGTTGTCAACTTTTGAGTTCGTTCCAAATTGTTAGAATTCATTGACCCTGCATTCTTATTGAATTTGACAGCTGGTACATTTACTAGCTGCTTGCATGAAGCATTTGGGTGCTCTATCTTAGCAGTATTAAAGGGTACTTGACATGCAGACGGATAAAGCTGTATCTGTTTTGAGGCACTTGATGAAGGCCCAGTACTATTCACTGTACTTGGGGAGTGAATTCCATTTGTCTTTGTGATCGCAGTGAATCCGTCAGAAACAGAAGCAAGTTGTTGTGAAGCCGGTGGACTAAGTTTCAGAGGTTCGTTTGACAGATCTCCGTGTCTTCTGAGAATTTCAGTCCTTTCATCGATGTGTAAATTTAATCCGCTTGAAGATTTCAGGGCCTGATAGCCACTTGAAGTGATCAATTCCTGCACAGGGTTCAAATATTGAGCTGGCGAAGCTCTCTGGGTAGAAAACGTTCCATCACTAGCAGCCTTAGATGGAAGATGCTCACTGTTTTCAGTCACCGAAGCGTCAGTTCTTAAAAAAAGATAGAGATAATAAGAATTGAGTCTTTGAAATTAAAAAAAAATACAACTTACTCAATATTATGATGGTTTTCCAAATCGATCGATACATTCAAGCAAGGCTGACTTCCTAAGTTGATGAATTTAGAGTTGTTATTGGCAACCTGTTTCAAATGCGACTGCATATGCCTCTTAAGGTCTGAACTCTGATAGAACCTTTTTCGACAAACAGCACATACATGAGGTCTGTTACCGCTATGTGTCTGAAACATAAACTTCCAGTATGATTATTGCTTTGCTCCGACTACCTCCGACGTATGGAAGAAATTATAGTGTAGTGTCTGTTTTTTTTTTCAGCCAATTTGGACCACCTCAAACAAGCCCTACTATTTAAACGACCATTTAAAGCCCTAGTGGTCGTAATTCGTATTCTAAAAACTTCGAAAAACATGTCCCAGACAAAAAATGTCAAGTGGTCTGAATTACATTGTTTGATTTGATTAGGTAAAAACAGGAAAATTGACAAAAAATGATTCTTTGCTTAGGAGTTTCTTCGCTCAAGTCAATCGGGCAATCAAACTAAACATCGCTCAAATTACCTACCTGTTTGTGGACTGAAAGCGATGATCTTTGAGAAAAAGACTTCCCGCAAATGTCACAGGCAAACGGTTTAATTCCAGTATGGATTCGGTCGTGATTTTGTAAGGCCGAAGATGAACTTAAAGTTTTGCCGCATTCTCTGCAAGTATAATTCTGTGCAGCACCAGGCAAAACACCTTTGGTGCGTCCACGGGGCATTCAAGCTACATCTAATCTAAAATAGAGACTCTTGGAAAAGCTAACATTCAAAAAGATAACACACGATATTTTAAGAAAGCATTTGAAATAGTATAAAAATAATTTAAAAAAATTAACAAAGAAATTAGGGCAAGTACTTAAGAGAGTTTGATTTCGCTATTTTAGTTCACTCAAAGTATAATGTTTACGGTTTCTTAAATCTGTCCATAGCAACAGCTGAGAGTGCCATCCGACCAGAATGCTCGACGGTTATAATCAAAATTGCGCGGGAGAAACGGCATTTAAGAGCGTTGTTCATTAGAAGAGAAGGAAAGAGAAGGCTGAAGAAAGATGATAAATAAATTTTAAAAAACCCGACTGACTGTGGTGTGACACGGAACAACGCATTGTTTCGCAATAACTGCAATCTAAGAAAATCAGAAAAAAATAAACCCTTAAACTGCTAAATAAGATTAGAAATCATTTTGCTAGTGCGCGTCATGTTGATAATTATTTACAAAATGCATACCCACGCGTACCCACGGAGCCGCATTTTCTGATAGCCGAAAAAAAATACCTCCGGTTGTAACTAAATTAAATAGGAAAACTTTTCACTACTAAATTGAGACTCATTTTGATTGAACAGCCTGATAGCTAACAAATTTCGAAAACTTTTTAGTGATTTCATTGGCAAATAGGGGGTCTAGGACAACAAGCCGACGGTACTTCAAGCCGAAGGGACTTCAGGCCGAAATTTAAACTTTTCAAGCACCTCAATGTGCCAGTCGGTCATATTTGGAAGTTTGACCTTGAGAGGAGCAAAAAACACTTGATTTTGGAGTGAAATATAATTTTTCAAAATTTCGAATGGAACCTGTCATGCACGATTTTCTCGCGATAACTGAAAATCAGAAAAAAGAAATCAGAACAATTTCAGAACGATCGAGTGACAATCGCGGGAAAGTTACTAAATAAAACAGTGGGAAATTGCTATTCGCAATTTCTGTCACAATAGAACAAGAGTAGAGCTGTCCCATCTAAAACAGAGACGAGAGCATTCCCACGAACTGGATTGTTGTGACTGGAGAACTATTATTAACTGGACCAGAGTGAACCTTCGGTGGAAAGGTGGACAGCTAGAGTGTCCCAATGGTTCACGAGAACTTACAGTCTAGAGTAAAAACTTGTTCTTATTATTAAAACTGACTAACGTTAAACTCATTTTAGTTACTTTATTAATTCTTGAGTTAACTACCGACTGGATTATTTCCCACTTCTTGAGCGTGCTACTATGTGAGTACAAATTTAAATTCTAGAGTGTGTTTTATGATTGTTATGTTGAGGTAAGGTGAGTTTTAGGTTGATCCACCTGAAATGGATCAAAGTTCCACTGTCTAATAAAAAGTAACTTAACGGATTGTTCCAACCCGGTTTTTAACGGCGTTCATGTATTTTGGGTATCTAGAGACCTAAGTATGGGGACGTTTCTAATTCTAGAGTGGTGGGATATTTTAGTAGTAGCCTTTAAGCTGTAACGGGTCGTAGTCTCATGTCACAAGCGAACCGAACTGGCTCCGACCGTTCTTGAGGTAGAAAAACACAAGAGATAGTGTCCCTGACCCTTGAGCCAGTGGTTATAGGGCCTATTTTTCTTAAGCCTCATGTGTGACTGCAGTAGACGAATGTTACATAGTGTTTTTATGGCGCTCCTGGGTGTTTACGACATCAAGACTACGGAGTCGAACCCACTTGAGACAGCTTCGGGCTGAATGCCCATTCTAGAGTACCGGCGGTACGGTTCGACAGGAACGTGCAAACCTTCCGGTTGTACCGTGATAGCTTTTTAAGAAAACTCGAGAAAATTTCCTGGTACGCTCTCCGAACGAGGCTTAGCTAACCGAGTAAAGGGGGGCAACTAGGGGGACAAAAACACGAGCAAAAAGACAAAAAGCAAAACAAAAAAGCCAAAAAAGAAAAGAAAAAGGAACAAAAACCATAAAACGAAAAAAGACAGTGACTTTGACACCAGATCAGTTGGATCAAACCTTTATATTAATCAAATAGTATACCCATACTGTTTTATAAGTTCGATCGTTTCGATCAACCTAGCAATTTAACCCAGTAACCGTAATAAAGTGCCCGAGTGTGGGCGTTGTCAAGGGTTTTCAGATAGTTTGGAACTTAGCTGGACCAATAGGAGACTTCACTGGAAGAGGTGACCAGCCGAGTGGGAAAGTGGTTCAGGGACACTTGAGCTGAACCAATAGGAGACTTGACTGGAAGAGGTGACCAGCCGAGTGGGAAAGTGGTTCAGGGACACTTGAGCTGAACCAATAGGAGACTGGACTGGAACAGGTGACCAGTCGAGTGGGAAAGCAGCCAAGAAGGATTTGGCAATTCTCGAGTTCTCAAGTTGGGCAGAACGGGTATCGTTAAAATCCACATTACATTATAGGAGATAAGCGTAAAATAGGATAAGCGACATCCCCCGGTTTTGAGGAACGTTTTTACTTGAGCAGGCCTGGAGACAGGTCTACGGTTTTCTCTTGAGAGGTTTAGCACCCGGCGCTTAAGGTAATTTTAGGCTTAGGAAGGGGGGCTAAAAAGAGGAGAGGTTAGAAAGGGGGCTGGTTAAGTTAGAGGTTGGCGGTTGTAAATTGTAAAAAGGGAGAAACTAGAGTAACTAATTAATCGACATCGTCGACTTAGTTACATTAGCCACAACACGCGTTGGTGATAATAGGTGAATATCCAAAATTCAACTCGAGTTAAGACTGGTACGCTGGTTGGTTTGGTAGGGGGGACCGGATATAGACAGCTTTTGTGATACCCCATAAGATCACTAGTGGGGGGAGGAAAACGCGTGGCAATTAGGTACCAGACATATTTTTTAGACGAAAGGTAGACATTGGTCACCTTTGAATTTCAGGTGGACTCATTTTTCTGTTTTTATTATTTTTCTTACTTAGATTTTTGTTGCATTTTAGTGAGGATTTGTGTTTGGTTTAATACGAACAGGTGATCACAAGATACCTGCGCACCTACATTGAAATAGAAACAACCAAAAAGAAGAGGGGGGTCAGCATTTGGCTTTTAAGAGAGGGTTTTTGAGAAAATTTTACTAGAGCTTGAGTGGTGGTACAAGGTACGGTGATTCAAGAAGACCCTACAACGAGGAAGACACTCCGCGACGAGTATTGGGACAAGACCGAAGAAGTCTTGGGACAGGGTCTTGGGACAGTGGTCTTGGGACAGGGTCTTGGGACAGTGGTCTTGGGACAGGGTCTTGGGACAGTGGTCTTGGGACAGTGGTCTTGGGACAGGGTCTTGGGACAGGGTCTTGGGACAGGGTCTTGGGACAGTGGTCTTGGGACAGGGTCTTGGGACAGGGTCTTGGGACAGGGTCTTGGGACAGTGGTCTTGGGACAGGGTCTTGGGACAGGGTCTTGGGACAGTGGTCTTGGGACAGTGGTCTTGGGACAGGGTCTTGGGACAGGGTGTTGGGACAGGGTCTTGGGACAGTGGTCTTGGGACAGTGGTCTTGGGACAGGGCCTTGGGACAGGGTCTTGGGACAGGGTCTTGGGACAGTGGTCTTGGGACAGGGTCTTGGGACAGGGGTCTTGGGACAGTGGTCTTGGGACAGGGGTCTTGGGACAGGGTCTTGGGACAGTGGTCTTGGGACAGTGGTCTTGGGACAAGGGTCTTGGGACACTAGTCTTGGGACACTAGTCTTGGGACACCAGCCTTGGGACACTGGTCTTGGGACACTACCCTTGGGACACTAGTCTTGGGACAGTAGTCTTGGGACACTAGCCTTGGGACACTAGTCTTGGGACCCTAGTCTTGGGACACCAGCCTTGGGACACTGGTCTTGGGACACTACCCTTGGGACACTAGTCTTGGGACAGTAGTCTTGGGACACTAGCCTTGGGACACTAGTCTTGGGACAGTAGTCTTGGGACACTAGTCTTGGGACAGTAGTCTTGGAACAGTGGCCTTGGTACAAGGGTCTTAGGACACTAGCGGAGAGTACTGTGATAGTGACGAATAGTCTTGGGACGGTATAGAAATTGAAGTCAAATTACAACAAGTGTGTTTTAAGACAGAATAAGACAAATCGAAATAGGTACGGTTAAGACCACATTAAGGGAAATTTTTCGAAGGTTTTAGAAAGAGAATTGGATAAGGTTTTTAACACGTTGTACAGAATTTGTTACCACAAAAAATTTTTTTTTAGTTTTTTTTATTATTTACCCTTAGAATAGAATCGTGTATATAATAAAATTGTAAATAGAAGCAGTTGTAAATAGAAATAATGAGGCGGAGTAGGGTACCGGTGCTCGAAAAAAGGTCAAGTGGATCAAACACGAAATATAATTCATCGCTGCGCGGAACGACATCAACGGGCCCAAAGATAACGAAGAAGAACTTTTCAGTTAACATGGTCAGCACAAGGAGTACAGCGGAGAACAGGGCGAAAGAGGGCACGGAAGGGGAGCGAGTAGAACCCACCATCGAGATTGATCTAGAGACACCCGATCAAAGTGTGGATGAAACAAGGAAGATGGCGACAGAGTCAACTCCAATGCCCAATGCAGAGGAACCGAACCAGAAACCCATAGAGTTCTCACCGATAGATGACGCGGAAGATGCAATAGGCAACACCGAAGAAACGGTGAAAGAAGACTCTCAAGTAAAGAGGACATCTTTTACGGAAAAAATTGGGAATAATGTTCGGAATAAAAACGAAAGAAAACGTGACTGAAGAACCAAAAGCAGAAAGAGCACGAACATTTGGGACAGTGAGCACGAAGACCTCAGAAGCCAATCCAAGAGAGGAACAAGCTAAAGCAGAGGCTACGGCCGAAGAGAGACCGACGGCTGACCATGAAGAGACTACCATTGAGCTGGGTGACTTGTTGGCGAAATTAAATCAGATTGACAAAAGACTTAAGCACAGTGAAGAAGACAGAGAGGTGATAAAAAAGGAGATAAGATACAACAAGCACGAGTATCTAGACAGTTATTTTAAC